AACATCATCATAGAGCTGCTATTAAAATCATCACCTTGGCTTTGACACTGAGGTTACATCATGCTCCTTTGTATCTCTGACTTCTCTTTGCTGTACCACGCAAACCCTTATTGCTTTTAATCTCAGGTCAGTAAAGGTCTACCCTTCCATCCCTTCTTCCTAGGAGTCAGCAGCAGGTTCAAGCTCGCTTCCTTCAGAGGTGCTCTCGGTGGCTGTGCAAGCCAGCTGGTAGCGAGTCTGCTGAAGAGCCAGAACTAACGTTCATGTACTAAGAAATGCCTGCCTTTCCGATTACCTAGTTTTTCTACCTATGGTGATCTTGTACAATCTAGATTTCAACAGTCACTGCATTGGGGACTTCCTTGTTCATTCACAAGAGTCTGCACAGATTAGAGTTTCCACCCATGTTCCTATTTGTAAGAGCAAACGTACTGCATTCTATCAACTGTTTGCTGATATTGTTTGAAGTACTATTTATTCTGTATGAAAAAAAACAAGCAGTGTTGATCAGATACAGAGATGAGCTTGTATTTCAATTCACCAATTGGGAGACCTTTGTTTTTAGACTCTTTTCCCGCATAAATACTGGAAACACTCCTATCTGAAAAAATACTGCAATATTTGCTCAAAGTTTGTTGTTTTAGCAGACATCCCCGCCAGTTAACATTTAGACTTGAATAACCATGGTAACAAATGCAGAAGGCTAACAAGCACAAAGAGTTCAAAGTTGTTTCAACTACCCCTGTCCTGGCCTGCTTCTTGTATGTGCATCAACAAATCCTTTTAGGATAACAGCAGCTGTTTAAATGATCTTTTTTCAGTCATTAGTAAATGAATGCTTCTTTCTTTCTGGTATTTAAAAGCGAGATGAGACCTCCTTGTAGGATTGAGAGGAATATTTAGAGCTGTATTCCTCTTGGCTTCCCACCCCCTAGGATGCTGTGAATGCTGAAAAACAGAGGGAGGAGACACTCTTATGTGGATTCTGTTATACCAAAATTAAGAAGCTGTTTTGGCACTGAACACAGGAATGCAAAGCCCATCTTCTATTTTGTCCTTCACTAATTAAATGCAATAGTTTTTTTTAAAAACTTCTGTGTAAGTTTCCACTGGAAGTGCACACAGATGGTTCTTGTAGAAGCTGAGGGTTTGACCTAATCTAGTTTTGCATAAGACACAAGGCTGTCTTAACTCCACGTGTACACTGGTACCTTAAGAGATGTACATGGATCTCCTGAAATCAGAGAGATGTAGCAATTCGCAACAGTCCAAGGCCAACCTGTGGCTTTTGAGCTGCATGTGACTCAGCAGCAAGTCAAGTATGGCTCTTATGCCAGGGCTGTATTACAGATGTTAACTACTTCAGATTTTTAGCTGTAAAGGGAGATTAGGAACCATTAGGGATTGCTGAGACCGGTATTGCCTTGTGGGATGCAGCTGTGTGCTCAGCCCCATCCCATCACAGAGTGGGGGAGTGGAATCCCCTCGAGTGCTATCAGTATGCTACTGCCAATGCAGCAATCCCACAGATTGCATTCCCTCAGCTCTCTGAGGTAGGCAGATCTTGGCAAGCTAGTCTGAAGTGTTAGCCAAACTGCGTGCTCCCTAAGAGTTCAGCTGTCTGGGCTATACAAATCTGACTGGCCCCTTGGATTCACGCAATTCAAGCACAGCAGTTTCTGTGGCCAGCGGCACAGGTGGGAGTGACACAGCTGGCATCATGTTACTTTTCCTAACATATTTTGACTTCATAGACCAGGTAGGCATTAACAGCGAGGCTGCTGCTTCAGAGAAATCTGGTGTGATGCTCAAATTCACACCAGTGGACCTAAAGCAAGAGGCCCGCCAGTATGCTGGTGTGCCTCCTCCCTGGTCCACAGGATGTTAGAATCACACACATGCAGGACAGTATGAAGTCTCCTTCCAAACACCACGTCTTGTTCGTAAGATACTGTACACAAACCAGTCCTATGATGGAGCCCCTGTGCAATCACAGAGTGAGGTTGATTGTCACACATATGCTGTTTATAAGCATTTGCACACCATTCTAGTTTGCAGCAATTTGAATGATACTTTGACTACCATTAACGCTGAAGTGCCCATGATCTCAGAAAGGGTTCAGTGAACACCATGAAGTTTGATTCAGGATATTGGCTAGGAAGAGAAGAGCAAATATGAAGATTTTACAAAATACCTGATTTCTTGGTATTTTTTACCTAATCAGAAGCTGCTAAACAAGAAGTTTCCAGAAGTCTCTAAAACATTAAGTCAACTTAATGTGACTAAGCACCCTTACTTTGATATTTATCTCAATTTCAAAATACTTCAATCATTTAGTTACCTGAAAAGTAACCCAGCTATGAAACCCTGCCATACTGTGTAACTGCTCTTTGCTGAAAATTACACCACACGTTATTAATCCCTTGCGGGGGCAGGGCGGGGGAAGAAAAAAAAGAAAGAAACCTCCTTTAACTAAAGCCTGGAATGACTCGCAGCCAAATAGATGACTCTTAAGCAAGTGTGCCTAAGCACAGTACACTTCACAGTTCATCATGGTATTAGTCATACTTAGAAAACACATATTTTAAACTAGCATTTAATATGTATGTCCACTACACATCTCCCGGATTAGTTTTCTCAAACTCAAATTTCCCTATTCAATTTGTGGCATCATGTTTTCCACAGTCTCTTGACATTAAAGTTAATCAAACAGCACTCTGCAAACTCCACACCTCCCAAATACAAGCTAGGTTTGTGAGTCAGCTCCACACGCTGTAATACTATCGAAGCAAGACAAGTATGGCACTTCAAAGGCTGTCACTTACAAGAAATCTGACAGTAAAACCACCTAAAGCAATTTTTCTAGACATTAGATATAGTGAAACCAGTATGTAGTATCCCAGACTGATTTAGCTGAGTATGTTTCGACATTGAACAGAGCTCAGAACTGCAGGGTATCAAGTATTTGTTGAATACAATTTTTTTTTTCTCTATAATATTCAAACATATGACAGTTCAACATGACAATCATAGAAAGCAGCTTATGAACAACACTGAAATATTATTAAAACATGTATCACTGGTACTGTAGTAGCTTATGTGAATGCAGCTTGCATTCACACTACACTCCATATAAACATCATGAATAAGAAGATTCTTGCCCCTAAAGTGATACAACGAATATATTTCAACTTTTAGGATACATTCTCAAAGCTTTAAGCTATTTTTTATTTCTGTTGATATACCTTGTCTCTCTGTTTCATTGCAAGATTTCAACTTTCAAATGCCTAAACTTACGACTGAATGCTTACCGTTATGTTACAGCATGTTACTTTTACAAGTAGATTTGTGGTGTGACTAAGAGAACAGTTTGGTTTTCCATTCTTATTCTCCAGCATATACTCAAAATTCCCTCTCTGAACAGTCATGCTAGACAGCTCACAGTAGTAGTATCTGTGGAAAGCAAACGCAAAAGGTAAAGGAGGAACAACTATTCAGACTTTTAAAAGCACAACAGCACTTTCAGAGGTACTTTTTAAGTACACAGTTCACTCTGCTTACTGGCATGTTTTAGATAGCTGCAGTCATGCTTTTATACATTTATGGACTACACATACCTCCTGTAAGTTTATATATTTAGAAGCAGTGCCAACTTATTTCCTTTTGCAAGGCAAGTTTTCAAATTACTAAACCAGTACAGCAGATTTTAAAGGTTTGTAAAAGTTCCTACTACTTGCTATTGGGAGAAATAGACAGCCGCTGCTGTTTTTCTTTTTTCTTTTGCTGAACAATTTAACCATAATTTTCACAACCTAGTTTCTTTTTCATAGGTAACTCCTAAGGGAGCTGTCAGTCATTCAGAATATGACTGTCAGCTCCTTATTTATCAAAACAATCTAATCATTTTTTATACAAATTTTACACGAATTGAACTGTTCTGGACCAAGCGATGCAATAAAATAAAAACTACACCTTACAGGTACCACAAAGCAGAGGACTGACAGAACATCCAGTTATGAAACATCACACCAACTATAATTGTTTTATAGTATCATACGTAGCCATGCATTGGAGAAGTCTTCCTTCTGTGACCTGGATCGTATAAAATAGCTAAGAAATTTTCAGATAGTTCCTGCATTAGATCATCCCTTTGTATTTCAGTTGGCAATACTTTTTATGATAGTAGCATTGACACATCAGGATTTTTCCACAGGTGACAGTTTCTGTGGTATGAATTCACGGGAGACTCCTCAATCAAGTGAAGTTATATATTCCAGGAAGGTGCAAGCAGCCCCAGCGGCAATATAAAGACGCTGTACTTGAGCCCAGCAGTGAAACCAGACCAATCCTAGTACATGCTCCACATTAATGGCAATGAGTATCACTAGGTTGGAGAAGGGGTGTGTTGTCTAACACATTTTGTAAGAATAAAGGAATTCATTATAGCAAAAACCAAAATATGCCATGGAAGCCCAAATTCTATCTGACTGACCAGTAGTGACTCATTTTCAAGCCAGAGATTCATGCAGACACCTCACACAGTTAAACCGCACTTACAGGCACTTGCACGACATTTTTTTTCTTCTGTTGCTGGCCTCCATGCTCCCTTTTGAACATACTACACTAAAAAAACTCAACAAAATTTTTCATAGTCCTTTTCCCTTTTAGTTCTGCAAGTGTGTTCGGCATAATTTCTTCTTCAGTTAGGGATTAATTTTCAGGGACACATTTTTTTCCCCTTTGAAGCCAGAAAGCAGAGGGGAAACATTAGGGGGAAATAGGAGCCATGCTCTACAGCTTTTTTCAGGGGTTCTGTCTCTGAGACCTTAAAAAAAATACAGGAAAGGGACAAGAGAACATGGGTTCTTCCTTCCTGATATTTCCTTTCTACTTCCCAAAGGTAGTGGCTTTGTCTTTAGGCAGTAAAAGTAAGCAATAGAGAAAGCAAAATGTAACCAAAACATAGACTACAATGTCTAATTATTCTCTTTCCAGGTGCTTTTCTTATTCCCTATATCCTCTTCCTAATCATTGCTGGAATGCCCCTGTTCTATATGGAATTAGCACTGGGACAGTATAACCGAGAAGGGGCTGCCACTGTGTGGAAAATCTGTCCAGTTTTCAAAGGTAAGTGTCCCTCTGCTCACTTAAATAGTACCATGAGGGTGCCACACACTTGTGATCACAAAGGAAAGGTCTCTCATCTTTCCACAGACAGCGTGGTATTTGCTGACCTTTCCCCAACCCTTGAAGTCAGAAGCCTTTTTGTTATCACAGGTGGAGCACAAAATGGGAAAAGCCACAGAATCATCTTCAGGGTTATTGCTGAGGAGTGCAGCAGAGAGCAAAGAGCACGGGCAGTTCAGCCCTGTCCTCCCTTTCCCCTGCAGATTGGGGAGTGGGAGGAACTGGGTATCTCTAGGTGGAGGGAGAGGCTGGCAATGCAAACATTGAGGAACACCAAATCCCACCCAGGTCAGTTCAGCCCTGTCTCCCCCAGTGACTAACATACCCACTGACTCCATTCAGTTCATTATGTGGAGCTTTCTCTGCAAAAGTCAGCATATCACAGTGGCTAGAACACTGAAACAGAGTTGTGAAGACTGTAGTTCAGCCGCTAGACTTCTAACATCACACAAGTTATCTGTGGCTCTGTACCTCAGTTTTCCTGCCTATGAAATGGGAGCAGTGATTCTGACAGACTTTGTAAAGTGGTTTTCAAATCTAGCAATGAAAAGCACTTATTAAAGCCTGAACATTGTTATTACTCTCCAGCATCACTGAATAAAAGGCTGTGGAGCGTTGTCTTGTGCACTGAGTTGCTATCATTCTGCACAGAAGAAATAGCTGAGGTTAGGTGTTTGCATACTGATCACGGTGGTTGGCATTGATCAGGGATAAAGGGATCTCCCTGGGTGAAAGAAGCCGTATGCTTTCTATACATGAAACAAGTATTTCTTAAAGAGCCTCAAGAATTTTCTTAAGCATTGCTTACCAGCAAAAACTGAAGTTCCCTTATATCTATACCAGATTATATCTAAAGTCTTACGTAAAAGCCTTTTTAACACAGAGCTATCTGAAATGAAACCACTCAAGCTCAGCTGATCTTAGAAGCTTAAAATTCAGATCGTGTTCATCCTGTGACTGACAAAAGCTGAAGAGCTTAACAACAGCAATCCAAACTTGGTGGATCCGGTGCTTGGATATAGGTTACACTGAGTAAATGTTAGTCTTCCTTCTCAAAATACAGCTTTCCTCTTCAAGGAGGCTAGTGCCGCAGAATAGGAAAACTGCAGGGTTTTTTCTTATCAGTCAAACCCAAAACTCACAGCAAAATTAGAGATATAATAAAAAATAAATAAGCGAGCTAATAAAGTATGTGCCCCAAAATTTTAAAATTAATCCATATAGATTTACCTAGCACTTCTATAATCCCTTCACGGGAGACAAAACTCATCTCAACACCCTGGAACCTGAAGACCCCTGCTCAATCAAAATTCCTGCCAGTATCAGTCAATACCTTTGGATGGCAATGAGGATTTTGAAAACGTAACTGCAAATTTAGACCTTAAGGCTCTCAAAGTGTTTGAGCCAAATACCACTGTGCTCAGAGGTACTCTATCTGTTGACTTCAGGATTGAAAAGACGATGAGAAAGGAAAACAGAACTTATTTCATGTATAGTCTTGTTGACATTCCAGTTGTGTTTTTAAGCTGACATTTTCAAGGTGGACTAAACTTACATTACTGTTGATTTTCAAGTGTTCTTATTACTAGGATATAGAATAGCATAAGTTATTTGATTCTCAAAAAGTAATAAGCATTGAGTTGTATTTGCACCTCAGCACTAGTATAAACTCAGTACTTTTAAAGTTTTGACCAAATCTTCTGATAACATACAAACACATTTTACTACTGATGCTTTTGGATTGTTTCTGGAATAACTCAAATCTCTCACTCAAATTAAAAGTACACAGTCTACACAAATTTTTAACAGCTTCTCTAAGTGAAAAGCAGTATAGTACTAATTTTAGCTATGAATATTATTGCTATGAACTCTAAGGACTCTACTTCTAATGAGATGCCCTCATAATGCATGCAATTAAAAATATATCCTATAACCTCTGCAACACAGTCTGTTTTCATCTCTGTATTTTCCAGGGTCTATTTCAGAGTGTGGGTGGTACAGCATTACTTTTTAAGAAAAGCTAGACCTAGAAACAGGAGAGCAAATTCATTCCTGAATATTCTTATGATTTCAGAGGAGTGACATTTAAGATACATTTGATCCAGTATTTTTTAATCTTGATATTAAATATCCACCATTGTCCTCCTGAATTGGAGGAATTTCAGGAACACTTTTTTTAAACAGAAATCATCCAATTTCAGTGCAACATATATTATTCGTACTTAGTATTTTAACATTCACTTTAATATTTAAGAATTATCCCTTTGGGTGATTCCCCCCCTGCTCCATTCTATTGACCATGATGTATCGCTAGAGTTTGAGTGTTAATGTACTGGATTCATTTAAGCACCAAGGATTTGAAGATACAGTTTCATCTTCACTTTCACAATCTTTTCCCCAATATTAGGGATGAGCAAACTGGTCTATGTATTAAAAGCCTCCTGAAGAGCAAAGAATAACTTTGGTATATGCAGCAGCCTTTGAACTGCCTACTCCTTCAGGGTCAGCATCTTTTCCTTATGCAAATTTTAAAGCAAGGATTAATACTCAAAGTGTGTGCTACTTCCCTGCTTTATCAAGAAATATGAAAGCCTAATAATCTCCAACTGCTAGGCCTCCAATGCAGTATCTCCAAAAAACTAAACTGAAAAAAATCAGAAGTAAAAGTTTACACGTAGGCGCTGTGATGACAGTCATAAACAGTGTGATGACAGTCATAAACCAGCTGTAGTCTCTACCTGTTGTTAGTAATACATACATCTTTGAGGTAAGATTCAGAGAACAATGCTGCACACAGAGTAAGGGAAGAATGATATAAGCTAAGGTAAAGCAAGCTTCCTGAACAATTCTGGCAACAAACTTTTGTTCTGCTCTGACATTACTACCAATGCTTCCTCCCAAACCATTGGAAAATGTCCATTTTCATGAGGAGAACATGCACTCTCTGGGGCTCTCTCGCTAAAAGCTCCCTCCAAGCACACTCCACAGTACGCAAAAATACAAAACAAATGTTCAAAGTCAAAAGAGAATGCTTACAGTGGGGATTCTGTAATCCTGGGGAGATAATGAAATGGTTTGAAGGTCCACACACAGTTTAGCCCCAAGCTTGATATTCACCAAGATTTACTGGCATGCCCAAAACCACTTGAGCCCCTCAGTGGGAGAACACAGACTGTTTTATGCATCTTTTGGACCTAATTACAAGCTGATGGAAACCAATCTGGAGAGTAACAACAGGAAAGAAACAGGAGAGGGATCGGTGTCTGTTCCAAACTAGCTCAGGGTGGGAGCGCGAGGCATAGGGAAACTTCACTTAAGTCTTGAGCTTTACTTTTCCAAGAAACGTTGCCAAGGACTCTGACATTATGAAGATGAAGGGAGTTTCACTCCTAACATGGGCTTGCAATCTTCTGCATTGGAAGCAAATCAGCAACAGAGTTGTACAATAGCAAATTTTGACATTGCACTGCTGAATTTCTTTTTCTGGCAAACAATTGGATTTGCTAAAAGCCAGTCGTTTTCCAGAATCATTAATGTAATTTTTTGTTTTAAGGTCCATGACACTGTGTCCACATATGTGTATGTAAATGTCGAAAATTCCTTTTATTGGTCTGAAGATCTAAAATGAATTTGCAACCATGTATGGCTGAGTTTAACTACAGTGTTTGCATATACTGTTGCATGCAAAATGCAATGTATAATCTAGTTTTCCTTTGTCTTTAGGTGTAGGCTATGCAGTGATACTCATAGCTCTTTACGTGGGTTTCTACTACAACGTTATCATAGCTTGGTCTCTGTATTATCTATTTTCATCATTCACATTTGAGCTCCCCTGGACAAACTGCGATAACAGTTGGAACAGCCCAAACTGTACAGATCCCAAACTCTTCAATGCATCAGTGCTTGGCAATGGTACCAAATACTCGAAGTACAAGCTCACTCCTGCAGCTGAATTTTATGAGTAAGTGTGGACTTGACTTTGCTATTTATTCAAAATTCTACGTCTAAGAGTGTTTCCTGTGGAAGGTAAAATAGCTTAGCATCCAGCCTCTAAAATAAGCATAAGACTAAGATTAAAATGCAGTTGCAATGTTGATCTGTATTCCTGTGTGATTCTGATTCTTGCCTTTGTAAGCTTCGGTTTTTCCAGTACGAATGCAGTACTTGCCACTGAGCAATATGGAAATGGACAAGACACAAATCATCCCTAATGTTCCATTTTTATTTGCACCAACTTTGCCAGGGCAAGGAAACACAGCAATATTCTGACAAAGAGAACTGCATGCCAAACTGAGCTGACTTTCAGGCTTTAAAATAATCATTTGTTCAAGATACTTGGCCTGTTTCTCCGCTTGCAAAATATCTCAGAGCAGACCTCTGTTTGCTTAGCCGCTTCAGTAGTCCAATGAAGTGAGATGAAGCACTGAGCAGGGAGGAGAGCACCACAGTTGTAGAAAGATGGGCTTTTTCTAATTCCTAAGCAAAAGAGCATTCTGCAATATGGGCCAAAACAGGCAAAGGCACACTCAAATCAAACACTTGGAATCAAAACCAAAAAGGTATATAAATTAACAACTGAACTATCAAACAAAGATATCAATCTGTGCATAAATAATTGCATTATGGACTTCCAAGGGAAAATGAGATTTGATTAGGATAAAGAAAGAAGGGTGGGCATCAGGCTAATTGAATCAGCTGTTGAATTAATCTAAATAATCAATTAGCATTTCTGTGTTGGGAATAGAAGAATATCAGGGCACACACCTGCTGAGCAGCGAGTCCTACCCTGTAGAAACACAGGGACACCACTGTTACCATAAATAACCTAGTGTGTGTTACACCATGCCTGGTTACAGTAGGGATCTTGAGGTCTGTGTTTATAGCTCTGCAACATTCGTGGCTGCTATTTCTCCTCTGAAGACAGCACAGTGAACTATAAGTAGTGATACACAAACTGTTGGCAGGGGTTTGGGTAAACTAAACTCAGTGCTTTGAAAACAATAAGGGGGGTTCAGTTCAAAGGAGCTCACTACAATGGCAAATAATGACAGCTAGGAAATCTACTGCCCTTACAAAGACAATATGTGATGTGTTCATAACTCAAATGCAAAGAGAGATCATTTATAGCAAAAAGCTATATACACATGTAGTCAAGTTAAAGAACCTGACTTTGAAGTGAACTATAAGAAATTATACATTCAGCATCTTCAAACAAAGAACTGCATTATTACAGAACTTTCACGTGAACAGTATTTGAAAAAAAGTTTTCTTTGTAATTTTCTTGTGCTTAAGCCTTTGTAAGCAAAATACAATCCCTACATTCTTGCTTTGCTCCTTTATGATTGAAAGTGGTTCTACACATTTTCTGTCATCACATCATGCTTGGGGTATCATTTTGAATTTGGGGTAGTGGTAGAATCTATTCACAATCTTTTGATTTAGTTCCACTGATCTGGGGAACAGCTCAATTTGTGATTCTGTCTGTACACTGAAACCTGAAATATTAGGGCTCTTTCCTTACCATGAAATAGATTCAAGGTGCAGTTTTCAGAATAAAAAGGGAATTGGACATTTCATTATGCTTTGATCCCTGAATTTTAGGGCAGTAATTAAGTCCCTAGGCCCTGTACTTATTAGCAACTAAATTATATTGCAAAAATGAGCAGAATAACCACTCAAGTAACACAATCTATAACATCTGCTTCCGCAGCTGTAAAAACCAGGAATCACAAGGGGCATTATGTTCACTTACCCAGTATTTGGATTATCTCATCAAGTGCAGCTGTAAAGCTCAGGTGTGGACCCAAACTTGTGCAAAGTTTTAGTGTATTCAGATCCAACCTAATAAAGACAGCCCAATTCAGAAAGCACTGTTTCTTCTCTTATATCAAATAACCTAACTCATTCCCATGGTCTTTTTACAACAGGGAGAGCTGAATCTTCTGATTGTAAAGTTTCATATTGTATGCAACATGCAACATGTAATGTTAAATTTGCATCAGTATAATGAGTTTACAAAACGCACCATTTTTGGATGCAGTATATTGTAAAGTAACAGTTCAAGTAAGGGTCTTGACTGGATAACATTCCCTCTGAAAACCCCTTCAAGTAAAGGCTGAATATTTCTTTAAGAATATTGGGTGTCCTTATACCATATTGCACTACTGCTTGACCGACTGCTGAACTTGACCCAAGTGTTTGTGTAGGAACCACACCTGATTCTTCCTGGTAGATAGCCATTAGTCACTTCCAGTCAACAAGTCTTTGCCAGAGGAGAACTACAGTTCCTGACAGAATAGTTTGTGTCAGGTCAGTCTATTCCTTACAGTCAGAAATCCTAAATTATTGACTGGATAGCTAATTGATCCTTCCTCAATTATACTGTGGATGAGTAAGAGTTTTTAAGTAACAGCATCATGAAGACAGTGGTTTCCAAATCCTATGATCATGTTTACTTTCTTAAGGTTTGTACTGCTATCCAGTGTTGCCAGATATTAGCAACAACAGAAACAATTACTTTTTGGGCAATAGATTTAATATGGCAGATTTCAGATACTGAGTTATGATCAGTTATATAGAGAAACAAGGAAATAGAGCAGCTACTTTTATACCAGAGGGAAATCAAACTATGCCACTCAAACTTCAGTGGGATACCTATGGAAGCCCAGCCTCTGCACTAACACAAGGTATGGTTATTAAAACAGGGATTGAAAACAGCAATAGCACTGCTGCCCACTGTAAAAATATCACAGAAACGGAGTGATTTTGTCAGTGGAGGTTAAAATAAGTTTCATTAGTCTCCTCAGTATTACCAAGGAGTACGGGAGACCATCCAATTTGGAATATTTGGGGCCGTATTTTCAACCACAGTAACCAGCATAACAAGAACTTGCTGCTTTGTGTTACTGGGATACACTGCAGCTTACGGAAAACTTTTTAAGGATGCTAAATGCCCAAGCACTTAAGTCTTCAGCGTCAAGACTACATGGGAAGTGGCACAGCTTGAACTTAGTTCTCTAGGTTTTATATTTACATCAAGAACATATGCAAACTTTTGCCTTCTGGTGGGCAGGCTGAACTGGAAGCAGGGAGACCAGAAACATCAAACATCTATTTTGCAGTTGGAGAATGACTGAAAAAAGGTACTTCCAAAGTAGGCCACAAGCAGAAAGCTGGTGTGGTTACCCTTAAGAGAAACACACACTACTTCTCTTTGGGATGTGATTCCCTCACACAAAGCTGGCCTGACCATGAATTTAGAGTAGATTATTTCCTAAAACCATGCAGCTGCCAGAGCTGACTGTCTCTATCTCCACCAGCACAGGAATAAATTGTAGGAAGAGGTGGGAGTACTGTGATGTGGCAATTCACCTAATACTTCAAGAAAGGCACCTCTAAGTTCAACAGAAATATGCTGGTTCTCACCACTTACATTGAGTGAGAAAAGGGAAAACTTGCAAAGGCTTTTAGGGAAAAGGGAAAACTAGCAAAACTAGGTGTCCAGTGTTTAGTGGGGAAGGAAAGCAGGGAGAAACTAAGCCTCAGACTTGGAAGAAATCGCTTCAAATTGCAATTTCCAAGCCAAGGCAGTGACAGGCGGACTCTGACAAACATACTTGGCTTTTGTTTTCAAGCCTTCAGAGCTGGGCAGTAATTCAGATTGAAGTGGTTCCACACTTAGACTTTCTAGAGCGTTTCATTTTACTAAGTCTGGTTTCAGTCATTCAGGCTTAATTCAGGCCAATGTGCCACTGACGTCAACGGGACAGTTGCTTACAACAGGAATACAGGATGGAATGGGACCTCTAAAATACCTCATTAGAGATGGTTAAAATCAATTATAAACTATTTGTACATTGCAAACTTAGCAAAGCAAGCACTCCAAAATCTGATAACAACTGGTGCCCTTCTGCTAGTAATAGTCAGTTGTAAGAGAAATCTAGTTAGGAATAAAATGTCAATTCCACATTTCTTTGGAGACGCACATTACTTTAATTACTTCCCTCTTCAGTGGTTTGGAATTAAACACACAAAATGCAAAGGACCTTCTATCCTTTCAACGTATGTTAAAATAATTCATTATAAACATTTTTTTGGAAGAACACAAGTACATCGCTGCAAAAAAAGTTCCCCTATCTACTCCATATCACTCCTATTTAAATACTTTATCTGAATACAGGCATACTTTATATTTGTTCTCTCCATTCTTGTGTCTGGGAAAAGTTTGTTACCATCTTGCTTTCATTTATCCTGACAATTAAAAAATACCAGTTTGGACGAATAAAAGCACTATTCTTCTCACAAGGTACTGTGCCTGTAAAATATCATGATCTGTTGTAGGAACAAATCCTGGCAATTTTTTAAACAAAATAGTGAAATTGTCAACAAATGTCTTGAGCTACGGCTATTTTCCTCCAATAGTACTTTTTCTCAGGACTGTAATCCATTCTTTCTGTGTAAGAAATAAAACACATTTTTACAGGGAAATGTTCATGCCAGATTCAGTAAAGGAAATTCACAGAATTCACAAGTCTGCCCAGATGTGAGTAATTGCAAAGAGCTACCTAAGAACAAGGAATAAAGACAATGTTCAGTCACAGCAGTCTACATCTCTCATATTTATGAACATAAATTTATAAGGAGTGTGTGAACCAAGAATAGCCTGAAAAAACCCTCACCCTATACAGAAAAGGTAACTTTTATAGATCAATATGTTTGTGCTTTGGGGTACAAGTCTTCACAGGAAATACCACGACTGACCAAAGGGTCCACATAGTTCAGTAGCTTGTCAAATGGAGCGATCAACACTATATGCTCCAAAGGAAGATGCAGGAACCTATCCCCATAAAACAATTGTGAAGCAACCTCTCCCGAAAGAGAGAAAACACCATTTCAAAAGTAAGCATAAGCAATTCTGCTTATAAATGCTTGTAAAAACTGAATCAGACAACAAGAACTAAT